ACGCGCCTCCCTCAGGTCACCTTCTGACTCTCTATCCCACTTCCTTCCTCCTCAGTCTCCTCTCCAGATTCTTCTCTTCTCTCCTCAGCTCCGCCCTCCTGGGTGGGGCAGAGGACCTGGAGCCTCCCTTTTCCTGGGTCCACCCTTGTTACAATTTGACTGAAATGGAAGCTAAGATGAAATCTAATGTTTGGCTGTTCCTCTAATTTTTTAGAAAAGTGGAGATTTTTTTTAACACCTGAACACAACTAGCCTCACTAGGTACAACCCATAGCTCCATACCTTCTATCCGTGTACAAACTGTCCCTCAAATTTGTTATAAAATAACGACATCTCTGCCTCTCACACCAGGTAAGGCCTCTGGAGTGGTGAAACAGACATCTCACGTAGCCACCACTTTTAGCTCAGTTGCCTTGTTTTTGAATGTCTCTTCTCTTCCCTTTATCTCCATTCCAGTATTTCCTTGACTTTGAAAATAATGAAAAAAAAAAAAAGTTAAAAAATAAAACTTAAGTATATCCAGAGTAGAGGCTACTCCAGGCTTTGAAAATAAGACTCTAGCCCTAGACACTCACACTTACTCTTATTCAAAGCCACTCTGTCTGATACCAGGAATGGAAGTGTAGATGTGAGTGTATGAAGAAAATGTGAAGAAGCAGGTAACTTTAACCTGGTCATCAAAACAAATCAGGAAGCACTCTCAGCTCGAGTGGCCCTTTGCTTGCATGTTTTCTGCCCTTGCTTCTGTTCCTATGTTGGGTGACCATGTAGAATATGGAACATTTCTTTGCTCACTCTTGGAATCTGCAGTATGTTTCAAAATTACTGAGTTTACTTCAGACAGAAGTGATAGGGAAATTCCTTCTTCCTGCCTTTTTTCTTCTTATGGAAGGAAAAGTTTTTTCCTCCCATCCCTCTCAGTGAGAAATAATTGAAAGTTTCTGTAATTGATACCCCATGACAAAAATCATGTTTTAAAAATTCATCACTTGGGAAAGGTGACTGGCCCATTTGAATTAAGCAAATGGTAATTCTTTGTAAAACCGTTTCTGGTGGTGATCCATTTCTTCTAGGGAACTGGCATTTTAATTGCTAGAAAAGTCAAATGTAAATAGTTAATGAGAATCAGTTGTGGTGGGAACTGATAAAACCAGGATAGCTCTGAATTATCTTACAATCGTGATAATATGCTGCTAAATTATGGACCTCTGTTTATAGCATTGCTCTTTCTTCTTTCTGAGTCAAAAGTGCCCCTGGCCTTCTTAATCCACGATGAAAATAATCTCCCAAGTAAGCTTCTGTAGAATAAGATGGCATCCAGCGATATAGCATCACTAAGTTATGAGTGCCATGATAATGCTGTGTTGTCACTCCAGGGTCAGCACAGAGAGACTTCAACCCAAGGATGGCCATGGTAACAGTCTTATCCCCTCCCAATGAAGACCTCTGCGAGAGCAAAGCAGGGTACACTTCAAAACAGCCTTCTTCTTTCCCCCTTCCTCCTAAGCTCGCCTTCCTTCCTTCACAATAGGTGAAGTCTCCTTGGTACAAATCCCCCAGAGAGTACTTATGCCATTCTTATGCCTTCACCAATCTCCTTCTGCTGACATTATTCAGAGCTTGGGTAATTAAGCAGGAGGCTCTTTTTATTAGCTGGTTGCTAGAAAATGGGATAAGAACAGGTAGAACAGGGGAGAACAAGTAATATTTTTTACTGCAAGCTATTTTCCTGCTTAACAGTTTCACAAGTAACAAGTGCATTCAGTCTTCACGGTTGCCTGGGAGACTTCAGCTTGCAAAAGGGTTGCTGCCTATTGCATATGTCTGGGAAATTGTCCTTGCCAACAGGGGCTTGAGGTGGAGGTTTACATTTTCACTTGAGCTTGATTATTTTAAGATTGTGTGGTCTAGGTATCCAGCCTTTTGTGTTCTGTGCCTTGCATAGGTTGAAAAATGAAGAAGCATCTAATAAAATCTTAGCAACCATCGCAAAATACTTCAAGTCCCAGTCCTTTGATTTTCGGAGTGCTGAAATTATTTCTGGGGAAGATGAAGGGTTATATGGATGGATTACAGTCAACTATTTAATGGGAAATTTCCTGGAGGTATGTGAAAAGAAATTTCTAGCCTTCAATTTTGCTGTTTATCCCATCCCCTATATATGGGGATATATATATAACAGAGGTGCATGCTGGCCAGGGAAAATATACATAATGCACAAGAGAAATACCTACAAAGACAATAGTAAAGAAAAACTTGGTTTCTGAAACTGGGTCATAAACAAGACCAAATGATCACAGAGGGAACTCTCACTTTGGAGATTAGAAGACCAGAATCTAACAATGGGCTATGGGTCTTTGGAAGGATGGTTGGGGAATGGCCCTTCCAAGAAGTTCTACAGCTTCTGGAATTTCACATAAAATTCCACTTTTTTAGCTTCTCCTGACCACCTTGTCCCTGAAAATTTGGAAGAGTTAGTCACAGTTTACTTTCCACCGTGGAAACTACCAATTGAAACGGTGTAGTTTACGCAGTCTCCAGTTTTCACAGTCCCCGCTATGCCCTACTGTTTATATCCAACCTGCTTCATTCACTTATGTTTCCTGTTCAGCACCTGTGAGCAGTTGAATTCACCAGTCTGGAAAAAGGAGAAATTTGGCCTTCTATATTTCCCATGTCATACTTAGCAATAAGCGATGGGTCTTGAATGAAGAACTCTGGGCAGAGATGGCTTTTGACCTTTTTCTTACATTTCCTGCTGTGCAGAAGAACCTCTGGAATATGTGGGTACATCCAAATGGAGTGCAGACCACAGGTGCCCTGGATTTAGGTGGTGCCTCTACCCAAATATCCTTCGTACCAGAGGAGCAGATGCCATCAGACACCAATGACAGCATACAAGTGTCCCTCTATGGCTATAAGTACACACTCTACACACACAGCTTTCAGTGCTATGGCCGGATGGAGGCTGAAAGAAGGCTTCATGCAAAGCTTTTACAGGTACCTGCACTGGGTGTGTCAAGTGTTTCTGTGGGGAGAGTGCCCTGCCTTCTGGAATCTGTCCTTTTCTTCTCCTCTTAGAAGGTAGATGGAAACAACAGCATGCTCCAGTTTTTTTCTGGGCATAAGGTCTCTCTCACTCTTATAGTGACCATTTCCCGTATATTTGAGTCAGAAGTTCGAGGAAGCTCTTGAACTTGAGATGTTCTGTAAATGATGCAAGGCCTAGAGTCCCTTTATGGCCTTAGCATTCTGAGTCCTCCCTGAGTGCAGAAAGAATAATAAAATAGGTCACAAGAGAAATGGTTGCTGAAAGAGAAGAAGGCCGAACCCTGTCCCAGGCTCAGCCTTCATTTAGATTGGTCCTGATTTGGGAAGGTTTGATGCCCTCTATAAAGTGAGATTTGTAGAGGTATTTAGAGATATAAAGGTGAAATCACCCTCTTCCCATGATAACTTCTCTAAAGTTAACCTCTTAAATTTGACTGGTTCTGAGGAGTGTGTGTGTGTGTGTGTGCACAATCCAAAGTTTCTCAAAGAAGGATTATCAATGTACCTAACAATCTATAGTAGAGAAGTGAATATTTCAAATGAGACTTGCCTGGATCTTATTTGGGTTTGAGAATACAAGTCTCAGAGTGTGAGCCTAGGACCTAGTGCAGCATGGCCTTTCTGGTGGTTTGTCAGCACTCAGAGACAGGGCCATTTCTACATCTTGCCCAGTAACCTCTGGATGCCTGACAAGGTGACTCTGCTTCCTGAGTTTCCTGACTCAGGTGAAGGGAAGGATCCAGGTGTGATAAGGACCACCCACGAATGTATGTCCAGATCTGCCTGAACAACACTTTCATGTTCAAATATGTGTTGCCAAGTCCTGGCAGGTTCATGTAGATCACTGCCTTCTGGACACTGGCTGAGTAAACCTCTCCTATCTGGGTCTCTTTCCTCATCTGTCATATAAGGGGCTGCATAGTGTGGTTATAATGATCCCTGGCTAGATACTTTGCAAATTATTTTATTAACATGTTTCTAGTCACTCCAGAGTTTTAAGTCTCACTCTGATAGCATTTAGGCATTAGGGCTATTTACTTTCTTTCCCTCTTGAATATTTTTTCCTTTTTTTTTAAGGTAATAAAATTCTGAAAAAAAAAAAAACGAGAAAATGGCAACACAAAAATATAAACAATAAAACAAAAATCACTATCAACATATTGTTGCATTTTCTTCAACTTTTTTCCCCCAACCAGGAAAAAGTATATTTACTAATTTGGCTTCATATGATCTATGTATTTTGGTATTCAGCTTTTCTCCCACCTAACAAATATGTCATGAGCAAATTTTTGAATTATTTTTATTGGTGTATGATATTCCAAATATCATTACTTAGAAAAAGCATATTGGTCATTTTATTATAAAAGAAAGGACATTTTTGTTATTAAAAATGTCAAACTTGGGCCCTCCCTGGTGGCACAGTGGGGTAAAGCACAGCACTAAGAAGCTAAAGCTACTTCAGCATGAGTTTGATCCCCGCCCTTCCCGGAGGTGACCCACATGGCGCGGCAGACCTCTCCTGACCCGCCCGCTGCCCTCCACAGCAGTGTACTTCATCGATCTGCCGGTTCTGCTTGCTGCTTTTCCTCTGGGCATCCTCTTACCGCCCCTGCACCTCTAGCCTGTACCCCAGTTCTGTATGAATAAATAAATCCTTAAAAAAAAAAAAAAAAGTCAAACTCTGCAAAAGTAGAAAGCTATACAAATGAAAGAACTTCCTTCAAATTCTGTTCACTGGTTAATTATTAAGTTGCTTTTCAAGCTGAAATATGATTTATTTTCCTTAGTACTTAATGTTTCATAATTAAGCAATCATTCCTTTCCTGATAGACACTAAGCAATGTCCTGCTTTGCTGCTACAGCAACTAGCAGTAATATAAACCTTATACATAGAACCTTAATGATTTAATTCTATGTGATAGGTCAAAGCAGTGTGTTTTTTATTTAATTGGGTAAATTGGCAATCTTCAGATTCCCAACAATAATGTTGCTATGACTTTTTGCAATCTTATTATTTCAAGGATTCCAAATATATTTGATTAATAAGTACTTGATGTTGAGGATCTATCTTTAGCTTTTCCATTCTGTTCCATTCTTGAGCCAATATTATGTTCTAGTTATAAAAGTTTTTTTTTCCTTACACTCATACATTTATTTTGAACTTCAAAATCATTTTGAGTAGTAAAAAATATTCATTGAGAAAATTACTGTAGTTGTTAATGACATTAATTTGGTAAGAATTGCTTTACTAATTAATATATTAAGAATTTTTATCCAGAATTCTAAAATATTCTTTCATTTAGTTAGTTTTTAGTTTGTATCCTTTAATAAGACTCATAATTTTCATCATTGGTCCTCTACCTTTCTTTTAAATATAATTTCTTGGTATGTGCTTTTATGAATTTTTGTAACTAATGAGAATAGTTTTATCACCATTTTTTCCCCATTTATAATGGGGTTTACTCTAAGATCAGATTAAACTGTAATCCTCCACTGGACATTTTTCTCTCAAGCCCACTGGCCAGTGGTCTGCAAACACTACATTCAGGGAAGATTTTATTGAATGTTAAGTGCCTGAAACTTACAAGTTATATTTAAAGAACAATTTAACAAGTAATATAAAGTATGAAAAGAATAGATATTATGTTTCCTGAGCTGCTTCTATATTCCTAAGCCCAAAATAATTGATATTACTTTGTTTCTTTTCTAAACCATACCATAAATAATTGATATTACTTTAATCATTTGGAAATTATACATCAGATAATAAAAACCACGTTGATTTGATTTTTTTCAACCAATATTTAAATGATAGGTGTTACAAATTTGATGTTACATGTTAAGACATACTTTTTAAAAAGAATTATTCCTTTATTGTAAGATTTTTATTTATTTTGTGTAGAAGAACTAGGGTACAGGCCAGAGGTGGGGCACATGAGAGGATTCACCAGAGGCAGAGTGGGGAGCAGAAGAGGCAGATCTATGGAAATACACTGCTGAAGGGAGCAGCAGGCAAGACAGGAGAGGTCTGCTGCTGGGGATCAAACTCAGGCTATTGCTGTGGGCCATCATGGCACTGAGACTTAACCCCTAGGCCAGCAGGAAGGCCCATAGACAACAGAGATTGTTTTGACACCATTGAGTCAGGAAGGTACTGGTTTGTCACCTCCATTGAGTAGTATTTAGGTCTTTCTGGAGGAAACTGGTAAGAGTAGGACTTCTGTATAAAATGTTATTATCAATCTTTGTAAAAGTATTACATTATTTTTATATGTACCTCAGTTTCCTCATCAGTAAAACAAAAGAGTTGGGTCAACTGCTGAATTAAGACTTCATACTCTCAGGGGTATTAGGTAATATAATATACCTAAGAGGCTTTAACTATACAGAGTTCCAGTTTCCAAATCCTTGGAATTTCGTAGAAAATAGAGTCTTAAATAGAACCAAACACATTTTGAGATTTAATGTAAGATAAAGGAAACATTTTTCACCCATAGATAAAAGATTGGATAGTCATCTGGAAAAAGCAGTCAATTCTTTACCACACTCTATATGAAATAAATAATAAATGGATCAAGGATTTATATGTAATAAGGAGATTTACTGGAGTATTTTCTTTTCTTTTTTTAAAGATTTATTTATTTATGCATACAGAACTGGGCTATAGACCAGAAGAACAGGGGCGGTGAGAGGATTCACAAGAGACAGAACAGGGAGTAGAACAGGCAGAGATTCATGAAGTACACTGCTGAGGGGAGCAGCAGGCGGGTCAGGAGAGGTCTGCTGCACCATGTGGGTCACCTCCAGGGCAGGGGATCGAACTGAAGTGGCTGTGGTTAGCTTGCAGTGCTGCATCCTAGCCTATTGTATCACCAGTGAGGCCCCCATGGAGTGCTTTTCTAATGACACAATCATTGAAGCCATGTAAATGTTCATCTAGAGGGGATTTCTTATAGCCTATTTATACAGTGGAGTGCTACGCTGATACTAAAAAGAGGTTGCACTACAGGTACCATATTGGAATTTATACCTCAAGAATATAAAATATATTTCTGAGGTAACATTGACTTACAAAACTGTATGTGATTCAGTTATAGATTCACCACACCATGTCTACTACCAAAGCACTCATAGTCCTCCACCACAGTCCATTGGGCTCCTTCTCCTCTTTGGTCTATACCTTCCCTCTTCCCATCTGGTAGCCTCAATTTATAGTCAGATTTCTAGAGTTTGTTATTGGTTTGGCTTGGTCCAGTTCTTTGTTCACTTCTCTGTATTCTGCATCTTAATGAAACCATCTGGTATTTCTCTTTCTCCTTCTAGCTTAATGTGGTTGTCATAGTCCCTTCCAGCTCTATGCATGTTGTCACAAATGGGAAGAGTTCGTCTTTTTTTGTTTCCCTTGCTTTGGAATCAAGTCCCCAAACACATGCATGAAGCCAATGTCATGGGTTTTGTCTGTTTTCTTCTATGTATTTCATGGTTTCAGATCTTCCATCCAAGTCAATCCATTTTGAGTCAATTGTTTGTTATGATATGAGATATTGGTCTAGTTTTAACCTTTTGCATGTGATTGGCCAGTTTTTCCAGAATGATTTGTTGAAAAGGGTTCCCTTTCTCCATTGTATATTCTTGGCTCCTTAGATTAACTTTTCATATAGGTTTAGGCTTATTCCTGTGCTCTTAATTCTATTCCTTTTGTCTGTGTGTCTATTTACATTTCTGTTTCATACTGTTTTGATTAGTGTAGCTTTGTAATATAGTCTGAGATCTGAGGATGCGATGCCTTCATTCTTTCTTTTTGGTCAGGATTTCTTTGATTATTCAGGGTCTTATGTGGTTCCATAAAAATATTAGTAATGTTTGTCCTATATCAAAGATTTTTTTTTTTTTAAGTAAGAAAAGCAGCATACAGAACATTGTGTAGAGAACTTGGGGAAAAGAGAAATTACACTTGAGGAAACAGGAGAGGTGGGAAGAAAATGTATTTGCATACGTACACAGGAAGTATACACAAGAAATGGGTAGGCTATACAAAAACTGACAATACTGATTACTTCTAAGGAGGGATTCTGGTGGATGAAGGGATTTAATTGTCATAATGTACTTATTTATTTATTTATACCTTCAGGTAGTTTCTCCCCTGAACACTTTCAACTCAAGTACCTTTTGGGTTGTTTTATTGAATATTCTATTCCAAATAATCATTTGTTCTAAATATACCTTGTTTTTTCACCAAAATGGAGTTCATAAAACCTACCTCACAGTACTGTGGTAAAGGCTGGAACAGATTGTGTGAGAGCCTAGCATTGGGGTCTGTCTGGTGTGGGGTAACTGGTCCTCATCCCACTTTGAGTTCACAAAACAACCTGAGAGTTGCCTTCACTGCCACAGAAAAGCTTTTTTTCTGTTTCTCTTTTGGTGTCAAGAGTAGTGATAGAATTTGCAAAAGGAAAGTACTTGGCCCTCAGTATTTGCATACTCACACAAGAAGTATCATCCCAAAGACAAAAGGTTTCTAACACCTCATTTTTTGCCTCTGCAGGAGTCTGCGTACAAACGCAATGTCATCAATCCCTGTTATCCTCGGAATTATCAATTCAATTTCACTCTAAAGGAAGTATTTGACAGCCCATGCACAGCCAACATGAAGCCTAGCAATTATAATCCTAATGATGTTGTGATTTTGGAAGGAACTGGGGATCCATTACAGTGCAGGAACAAAGTGGCTTCCCTGTTTGACTTCAAAGCTTGTGATGGCAAAGAAAGCTGTTCCTTTAATGGAGTTTATCAGCCCAAACTTAAAGGATCATTTGGGGTAAGAGCAAAAACCACTGAAGATTCTTTCCTTCCTACCCTGCTGAATATTTATTTCTCACCTTTCTGTTTCTCTTTTGCTGACCTATTTCTTATTTTCCTATTTTCCACCCCAAATCCTCCATATTACACCCACTTCTGACACTAATTTCCTTGTGTACTGTTTCTTTGCAGGCCTTTGCAGGATTCTACTACACAGCCAATACTTTCAATCTTTCTGGTAGTTTCCCCCTGAACACCTTCAACTCAAGTACCTGGAATTTCTGCTCAAAGGAATGGAGTCAGGTCAGTATTTAAAGAGGAAGGATCCATATCAATTAAAAATACGAGAGCAAAGTATGCATGCATGTGTGTGTATGTTCTGAATTTGATCTTTATTCTGTTCTATTTCTACATGTATAGAAAAGTAGATTACTGTAGATTCTAACTATACACACAATGGTTAGAGCAAGTACTCTATAAACTTAGGGGTTATTACTGGTATACACAGACATTTTCAATATTTTATGGTATATACTTATTATACAGTGGTTTTTATTAAGGAATTTAGGTGATAAGGTTACTTGAAATAGGACTGTGGATCCAAGGCGTTCTGAAATGTGAACTTTGGAACATGCCTGCCCAGGCTGCCTCTTACCAGCTTTGGCCTGCATTTCAGCTCCCAGGTCTGCTTCCCCATTTTGATGAGATGTATGCCCGCTCCCAGTGCTTCTCAGCCCACTATGTCTACCACTTGCTTATGAATGGATACAAATTCACTGAGAAGAGCTGGCCTGACATACAATTTATAAAAGAAGTAAGTCAAAGCTCACATTCTTTTCTTCGCTTCCTGTCAAAATAGAGGTTTTGAAAGAAAGTTAAAAGCTAAAAAGGTATTGGTGATTTAAATATGTTGAACAGAAGCTGATAAAGTTTTGGTTACTTGTGGGCATACCAGAAAAGATGACAGAGAATTCAGAGTATTAATAAAGGATTGGAAGCAAATGACTGGGGCTCTGAACTTCACAGGGACAGGACTTGGTTTATCAACCTCATATTGCTAACATCACACACAGGTTTGAGAGCCTGGAAGGTGCTGAGTAATACATAAAGGTGCTAAGCCTCTGAGACTTCTCTTGCTGAAGAATCTCCAAATATAATAATTTTTTTAAAGATGATAGTAACTAGTTGCTCTCGATTTTACATAGATATCATAGATACTTTATATATATATATCACATATAAATATA